CTCATCCTCCTCCGCCTCCACGCAGATCTTCTTCCTGCGCTCAATCCTACGCCAAGCGGGATACAAGCCCAGGGCGTCCTCGACGGTACCCAAGGATGCGCCCATCAGCCCGCCACTGCCGAACTTTCCCCGTGCAATGGGCTCGCCGAGCAGATGGGACGCCGACTCGGCATTTGCGAGCCTGCTGGACGAGGACGGCATTCAGATGTATCACCTGCAGGATGGCATGCAGACGTACCATGTGCAGTACGTGCAGGTTGACCCGGAGGCGGACGAGGATGACGAGGGGCAGCAGGCTCCGCCGTACCCTCATCGACATCGGTCGAGCACGGGATCAGGGGTGATGCATCAGCGGCATCCATTCCCGCACTCGCTGTCCAGTCCACAGATCTTGACACCGCCGGCATCGCCTGCGCATGTGCGCGTGACGATTCTCCCGCCTGTGCGGCATGCGCGACACCATCTCGAGACGGTGCGTGCTTCCTCTCTGCTCACCCTCTGTCTCTCGGTTAGCTGATGTCGCCGCCTTCAGGTTGACGCGCATATCTTCCTGTCAGGCTCGGCGGGCTCGCTGAGCACGACGGTCGCGTTTCTGTACGTGCTCTGGAGCTTTCCACGGTTCATACGGCATGTCAAGTCCGAGGGCGCGAGTCCGACGGTCGTCGTGCATCTGTGCACGTTCTATCAGTCGAACGTGAGTGTTGTATTGCGATGGCGGGCTCTCCGCGTTCACCGATAGCCCTCGTTGCCTACGTGTAATCATTGTCCTGACACACCCTTCTGCAGCTCGCGCGCGTCGTGTCTCGCTTCTCGTCCCCTCTCATCCTCCCTCTGTATTGTTCACATTCAACCTCATAATATATTTCTTGATTCTTCACATGGTCTCTTAACGTTAACAGGGTGACGTGAAGTGAGGACGCGAGAGCGGTTCTCGCTGGACATTTGCGAACGTCTCCCCGTGCGTCGTCACTGCGGTGAGCCTGTCACCCGCCCGCATGCATCGCCTACCAGTCGAATGCCTGCGACACACGGCCGAGCGATCTGCAATGGTGCGCACTGAAAGGACGCGGGCCCCATTGCGCTCTTTTCTCATATTCGCTGGTTATCGCGTGAGGATCGACCTCCGTTGGTGCTGGCGAAACATTCATACCGCCTCGGGCGGGCCATGTCGCTCTGTTCGAGGCCAGGCCACCTCACTCATCGTGTACGCGCTCTTTCGGTCGTGCATGCGCCTCAGCAACCTTGGGCGCGCTCGGGCCCTCATCAGGTGCGCAGCGTCGCATCACTCATGGTTGCCCTCGCGGGGCCTTCTGTCTGATGCTCAGTTCAATCCCCTCTTCTCTACCCTATCACATGCATCCATCTACCAAAACCCCCTTCAATCCCATCCCTTCGGTCTTGATCAGTCCGGGCAGCCTGACCACGACGTGAGGCGAAGAGGCGCATGCGAGACCGGCGGGTGCGGACTGACCTGCTTGCGAGGCGATGGTCACGTTCTGCGCGGGAAGGTGCGTGAGCGACGGGTGATGGGTGAGATGTGTGGATGGAAGGGACTTACGAGAGAGCGGCGGATGCCGCAGTGTCCAGGTCCGGTTTGCGGGGAGCTTGTTGTCCATAGGTGCGAGTCGAGGTGAGTCGTCCTGGTGCGTTTTAACGGTCAGACAAAGTCAGAGTGTCGGCACGCGCAGCGTACCAGGGCAGTCCGTGGTAGTAGGTCTGCACGTCACATAGAGTCAGGGACGGGCTGTCCAGACAGTCATGTGGAGGGGACTTACGAGAGGAGCGACGGGTGCCGCTGTGTCCAGGGTCCGGTATGGAGGTTTCAGGTCTGTGCGCTTGATTTGATCCTGTGAGATGTGGGTGTTTGGTGGCCGGGTGAAGAGCGGCACACAGTGTGGGGATGAGTCCTCAATGGACGTCATGGCGGCCTCGGCCCTCAGTGCGCTGTCTTGGAAAAGACATGCATGGGCATGGTGTGGGCGAATGGAAAGTGTCTTCGTCTGCGCTAATCCCGGGGACGCAATGTGCACGGGAGCGCACAACGGTCAGTGCGATCGTATCAACGGTCGGGGTGGAGATCCACGTGCGTGCGCCATGCTGTTACGGGACGAGTCTTCAACGTCGAGCGCAACGACGTCCGCCATTTTTGAACGGCTTGCTTTGCGTTGCTTGGGCGATCAAGAAGCATCGATGGTTGCATCGGACGCAGACGCGCGGTTGGGACAGGTCGGGCAAGTTGCGAATACAGCGGGCACCCGCCAGCAAAGCCTAGCTTTGCAGTCATACTGGGCAACCACGCTGAAGTCATCGATGGTGTTGACAGACACGGGGAGAGATGCACCCCCTGTCATTGGAAGCTGACCTCGTTAGAGCAGCGAACGTATGATGTAACTGATCTGGACGAGTCTTAAATGTCTTGTCGTGGTCATGTCGCCTCAGAAACAGAGCGGCTCGAGAGCACTAGTGGTCGGTGCTGAATGCGAGCATGCGAGCATGCGAGAACCACAGGAGAGACTGTGCGAAGGGCCTGGCGTGAATGTAGCGACTGTGTGCTGGGTAGCTGACCATCGGATGGTTTTGGAGATCTCATTGATGAAGTTGGCGGCAGTTTGAGCATGGACGTGGACATGATTTCTATTTAATTGTAGCGAGGGCATCTCCTGAGAGCAACGGCAGCATGCTGTCTGGAAAATAGCTACATTTGTGAGCGGTTGTGCTGAAAATGAGCATGCGATACACACAAGATGTCTGGCAGAAAATAGTGGGCTCTGCATTGGAGGTCAAGTGAAGAGCACTCTGGAGATGCCAACAGGGCACCGGCCATCACATGGAAAGGCCACAGGATGGGCTGGGCAACAGACATGTCGAATGCATTGGCCATGGTCTGGAAAGCTGAGCAAGCGGTCCTGGA